AGTACACTGAACTAGAGAGGTTGCGTGAGAATTACATCTACCTTGCCACATAACCTTTGCCTGAGTTGGTTCGAGGTTTGGGCTCAACCAATATGGGTATGTGAGAAAGTTTGCCAGTTGCCAGTTGCTTCTCTTGGATCGGTGTTCGTGTGTGGGTTTACCAGGGTACTTCCTTCACAAGTTATACTGGCGGCCATGTATACATTATTGTCTGCTGAAAATGGTGTTAAACCCACAATTACATTTACCTTGTGTAAGGCAAAAAATGTCAAAATTCCTTGTTTTGTATTATTTTCATTAATTGATGTTATTTCTATTTATACTTATTTCCTCAGTTTTTGAAGTAAGGTGGTGTGTGTGTGTGTGTGTGTGTGTGTGTGTGTGTGTGTGTGTGTGTGTGTGTGTGTGTGTGCAGTGCGGAGGGGGGGAGGTACTTGATTGTTTGAAGGAAGCACCAAATAATATATATATAAAAACCTAACTCACAGTTGATGCAAGTTAAAAAGAAAAGTTACCGCAATGTAAAAAAAATCCATTTTCTTTTCCTGGTTATGCGTTTAAAAGTGCTAGCGTACCAACCAAATTAAATCAAATTGAACAAAATAAGGAGCTCTATCCATATAATGGAAAAACACAGTAAGTTAAGGATCACATTACTTGAAATTATTGATTTTTAACATAGCTTTAGCTTATATTCATATGTATTTTATAAAATTATATTGGAATAGACAGCCGTCACAATCTAGCAGTTGGAACGCATTATCAAACGAGTTCAATTTCACAATCCTAAACATGCAGATATGTATTTTAAACGATCGAGCTTATCTAAGTATCGTGTACGATGTTTCAGATGTAGACGTCAAAAGATACCATACCGTTAGAATGATAAATTCTACCCGGTTTTACAACTATTTTGGTAAAATAAAATGATTTTTAGAGATTTCGCTGATGACAAAATTATTGGCAGTGAAAATTATATAAAGTTGAAATTGAATGAGAAAACGGTTCCAAATCTATAAACAAAATAGCTTTTTTACAAATAGGGATAATATTTTTACCTCTCAGTGTAAAATTCAAGTATGTGAAAGATAGACCTTATCTGTTTACAAAGGATTCACTGGCAGGTTAGGGCTAAAATGCTTTCATTGAAATAACTTAACGCTTAAATCTCAAACTCAGTAGTGAATGGTATTTCTAAAAGACTATAATGCAGTACAGGACTTACATGGGACTGTAAATTTTGATAACATTGAGAAATATGTGAGAGGACCTGTGCTCCAATTGGTACAATTGTTAGCTCGACTGAAATGTAAAATTATGTTCTTTAACAAAACTAAAATAAAATTGAAATCTCTGATCGTAATTTGGAAGATTTATAACGTAACAGTTACATATTTACTCTTCATGTAAAATATAGTGACATTTTTCAAACATGAAATCACGCTGGCTCAGTCACGGTAAAGTTTTGATAAGTATGCAGTTTTTATTAGAATCAGATATTTTCTTTTGACTGAGGCATTATCTGTAAGCAAGACATTGAAGATGATCGCTGACTGTGAATTTGAGCTCACAAATATATATTAGGCGGCTATGTGAATTTTCGACATGGATATAGTAAACAAGATAATGAACTAAAGAAATGAAATTAAGCAGCAGACTTTATTAAAAACATTACGTTTTAACAGCTCTGTCAGTTTGAAATATGCTTCATCTTTATGTACGAGAAACACATTAGAGAATTATAATTTTGGCGCTCACTTTGATTATCGGCAAGAACCGAAGCCCCATAGTATGGCCTCTCTCTCTCTCTCTCTCTCTCTCTCTCTCTCTCTCTCTCTCTCTCTCTCTCTCTCTCTCTCTCTCTCTCTCTCTCTCTTCATGTACACACTTGTTTTTACCTTTATATTCAATATGATTGATTGGAATGGGTGAAAATATGATGATTTTTATATTACCTGTGGAATATAGATTTATGCTAGTATGACAAACAAATACTAGTCCAAGGGTGGAAATATATTCTAAAAATATGTTAAAGGTTTACTAGTGTGCTCACACAACTTTCATTTGTGTGATAAATTTAGAATCTAGATGTGACTTTTAAGTTCTATCAAATACGTCATCATTAGTAAAAATAATGACCACAGAGCATCGTGTTCTTATCGCACAAGAAAAAATACCCTCCTTGCCATTTTCGCGCTCGGCAAAAATTTGCATAAGACAAAGCGCAAATGAAGTCTAATTTCGTTGTTAGTTGCGTTCAGTAGCTGTGACCGTGCGTTATCCGAACAGTGAAAGGCGAGAGACAGGCGAGATAGTCAGCAATGACCATTTGAGAGACGAAGATTTCGATATCGTCTATAAAATTAAAGAGTTACTTAGTATTACCACCATCAGACGACTCCTGCCAATTGCACTACCTAGCGTGTTTTATCGCCAGATAAAGAGTCCATGAACACCAGATTAACAAAACCAAGGGTTACGGCAGGGCTAACAACATGAAAATCGAGAGAAGCTTGTACAGAAGCAAGAGCTAACGAGGGTAAAATATTTATACATCTTTATCTTGCTATAATAATGGTTGTCAGCCCCTATCCCTCGCGTCACAAATATACATAGAAAAAGAACGATCAATGGGAAAGGCGATTCTAGTGGGACGGTGTCAGCAAACCATAATAGCTCCAACCCCTACCTCAAAAATGAATCCTGCTTTACCATTACGTGTGTGTGTGTGTGTGTGTGTGTGTGTGCGTCCCATGGATTTTAGTTTTGCCCACTCCCCCATTAGTATTTCCCCTACCCGAAAAAATTCACTTGCATGCCCATTCTTTTATTTCATGCCTGTTCAACAACAATAAATATGACAAAACCAGATTCTGCTAAAGCCAAGATGTTGTGAATACTTGATGCATACATTGTTTAATGGTAAAGGGTAATTACCCAATCGTATTGAGGCAATGGGAGTAAATTACCTTGTTTGCCAGAATATAAACAAATGTGTCAATGGATGACGCTCTAAGTCAGAGTCAAACCCAGAACCCATTGCTTGTGAGTGTGAATACCAATGTCAGTTCAGTGTGCAGAGTATAGTATTATTATTCACAATATGTACAGAACCATAGTTTAAAGGAAGTTTTTAAAAAATATTAATGTTGTCAGTGTAAAGATTTTACCTTCTAAAGCTGTTCTAACTATAAAATCAGGGAATAAGGTGCATGATTAATTTTAGTATCTTTTACAACATAGAATCTTTTTCATCTTTCTTGAGACAAAAACGCAGACTTATGTGTAATATTTATTATGTTTATTTAATTTGAACTGAGCGATTGACCGTTGTCCGTAACTGATGCTAGTTTTCTGTTTATTTAATTTGAATTGATAGATTGACCGTCGTCCGTAGAGTCTCCACCTACCTGACTATTCTCATGATTATTGTCATGTTTGTAACCTATACATATGTTGTTTGATGGCATTTGAATTCAAAGTCTAGCCTTATTTGCAAACTTAGAATGTTCTGAAAGAAAACGTTTGACACACAGCCTGATCATGTTATTGTGTGTTAGGTTTTTATATTAGGTTATGGTAAACAACACTATTCATTCCTATCTTAAGATCAGTTTGTGGAATCATTTTCAGTTGTATTCAAACATAATTCAAGAGAAATTGTTCAATAGAAAGTTAATCATTGGAATTACAATGTGCTCATTACCTTTTTGGACTAGTACCCTATGTTGTTATTATTGGGAATTCATTCAAATACATTATGGATTATTTCATTGTGATACATCATATTTGTACATAAACCTATTTAAGACCATCAGTATATCAGCACATTCAATACTTGAATTTATTCGGACCACTATATATTGTTTGGACATGAGATATAACGTTTAGAATAATTTGGGATTTAATCACAGTACTTTAACTTTTTCTTAAATATTCACTTGCTAGCTGAGATAATAAATGTATTTGTTGTTGTTAATAAACGTGTTTGTTTTGCTCCTATCTGGTACTTAGGTTAAGACCATAGATTCTTAGTATATTATATTCAACATTCTGGCCTTATTTGGGTATTTCTCTTAGTTGTTCATCAAAAGTTGTTCTATTTAAAATTGCTTATATCAAACTGATGAAGGAACATCTTACAAGTACTAAGGTATAAGATCCACCGGATGCAGAATGGGTAATAAATAAACAGATTGCTGTCTCTGTCCACATTCACACCTTTGTGAGCGAAAGTTATGTTATTATTAATCACGCGATATCGAAAAGCGGGACGTCAAAAAGGGCATGTCTAAATGTAGCACTTTTTAGCACTTTTGGTTTCTCTGCCAATTTGCCATTGCAGTACGTTGTACTACACTAAGGAATATTGTGTAAATGTTTTATTGTGTGACTGCTAATTTCTCGAAATTACCCTTACGGTCAGCTCTTTTTTCACCGTCTGTCTGTCTGTCTGTATGTATCTCTCTCTCTCTCTCTCTCTCTCTCTCTCTCTCTCTCTCTCTCTCTCTCTCTCTCTCTCTCTCTCTCTCTCTCTCTCTCTCTCTCTCTCTCTCTATTTACAATACAGTGCAATACCATTCTATGTTATGTTGTGTTGTTCGTCCTTTGTTGTCGAAGACGACCATGACTTCCCGAAAGGTCTGGTCTATGAGTGCTCAGATGGCTTGTGAAGCCAATCCGTGCTGTGACGAGTCTACGATAAAGAGGGCAGGAAATTGCCATGCTATAGGTTGGTACAATACAAATGTTATACGATACCAATTTATACCAATTTATACCAATTTATACCATACCATACCATACCATACCATACCATACCATACCATACCATACCATACCATACCATACCATACCATGCAAAAGAACAAATACACTAATTTATATTATAATACCTTACACTTATTTAATATGCAGGTTCGAATCTTGCCATCGGATCAGCCTAGATCGGCTACATCAGTGTGTCTTTGGACGGCGCCATTTTAGTTGCTGACCGCTCTGTTGGCTTATGTGGTTAGAGCGTCCGCCTCGGATGCGGGAGGTCGCGGGTTTGAACCCTGGCCGCTTCATACCAAAGTCTTACAAAAATGGTACTAACAGCTGCCTCGCTTGGCGCTCAGTATTAATAGGTTAGTGTTAGGACTGGTAGGCCTGGTTTCAAAATAATGTGACTGGGTGGTACATCATGCTACATGTCTGCGGCATGATGCCCCAGTGCTAGACATCACTGTAAACTGCCACACTGCAAACATCGTAGTGGTATGACTGAAACATTGTTAAAGCTACGTTAAAAATCAAAATCAAACACATACTTCAATTGCCGTCGCACCAAGTAACCTATTTGTGGTGATTTTTCCATAAGGTCTCATTGGATAGTTTCATATTTTAATATTTAAGGTAGAAGGCATGAGCCTAATTATACTAACCCTAGCATTTATAAATTCATACACAATCTAAATCTGTAAAATGGTTTACGTTTACATTGAGTTAGACTTGAAAATGGGTGGGCTTGTAGGTGACTGCCTGTCACTGTTAGACTAGCATTGAAGATCAAATGCGTAACTTGGGCTGCAAATGAGCAGCCGACTTGACTTACCTATTTACTTGTGTCTGCTACAGATGTAATTATCTAACTATCTACACGGTTGATGGGTGATGAAAGGTATGTTAATTTGTTATTGTACTAGTGAACTGTAAAGCTGAATAAATTACAATCTGATTCTATTGGCCGCCTTGTCTCAGGAAAATGCTCAAAATAGCTCTATTATATCAAAACTGAATGTAAAAAAGAGGGGTTGGTGTTAGTATCGGTTCAGGAAAACGCCACCAGTTGTATTACGAATTAACTTTAATACTCAGTCAGAATCTTACAAGTATCATTTCAACGAAAATCATTAATTAGTTTTTATTTGTATCTTTAATGCAATGTTATTAGCATTTATCTGCAATAGGTCATCGTCGGATGAAAAGTTGCCAAAAAAAACAAACAAATGTCCAGTGAGACCATATAGCATTAAATCCCCATAAACTGAGTCCGGTTTTCCTTTAGATTGATGAGATATCATTGATCTGAGAACATGCTAGCAGTGTGTTGGCAATTGCAGTGAATCGGCGGCAATGAATGTAAAGTTGAACCTTATGTACATTGGCATTTCAATGTTTGATAATATATATGTGAAAGCAAATGTTTGCTTGCCACCACATTATGAGCATTAACCGCGGATTCAAAAAGAACGTAGATAGCTAGGTATAGCTCTGTCACCTTTTTGTACCGTTGCCATCTTTTTTCTCTCTCTCATTCTTTTTTTATGCCCTCTCTCTCTCTCTCTCTCTCTCTCTCTCTCTCTCTCTCTCTCTCTCTCTCTCTCTCTCTCTCTCTCTCTCTCTCTCTCTCTTGTAAGATTCTGTACTTGTAGGATGCTGACTGAGGCAATAAGGTTAACACGCACATACATGCACGTGCTGATTACATATCTATATTTTGTGTTTATGAACGACATTTCACGTGGTTTAAAAAAGTGTGATTATTACAAGATTAATGCATTTTGATTGTATAGGTGCCGATCAAAAAAGGCAACATTGTAAGAAATATATTTGTCATAAATAAGAGGTGAGTATATTTGCCAAATGCGAATTTAGACTGATCGAAAATAATATGTATTCACTTTTTAGTGTCTTCTATGAGATAATGAGCATATCTAAAAATGTATACATAATTTTAAATATTTGAATTAAATAAATATTGTTTTGAGCAATTTTCTAACCCTATTACTTAGAGTAATTAAAACATCGCCCAATTTACGCATTATTAAATACATTAGCATTTTTAATGAAAATGGAGAAAGGGCGCATGCACTGGTTAACTATCCAAATATCAAGCCTCTATTTAAATGTAGTCAACGTTTCAGTTACTGCCACTGATTACGCTGATGATAAGCCTGACAGTAATGTTGGCGTTACTTTTGGAACTGGTGTCATCCAGCAAAATCTGACACGCACTGCGTTCGGCTCATTAGTCATTTGGTTTGGTAATCAGAAAAAAACTAAAAACTCCTGTAGTTTAGATTGGTTCTGATAGAAGGCAGATTCTAGCAAGGACTGGTTATCATTCAAAACATACCAGTCTGCTTTTCACGAAGCTTGCTGTTGACGTGCGTCGCACTTGCATGCATAATGAAGTATGACGTCGGAACTAGCCCTGTCTTAGGTCATTAAGATAGTAACTTCAGTACGTTGGCAGATGGTATTTCACGTTGTTTGTAAGAAAAAGAGATGAACAGTCATATAAACATCCAAACAATCAACAGAGATATGCACATTAACCTGTGTAAACACAATGTCACAAAAGGGGGTTTATAACGTGGGTGTGTATAAATGTTTCATTAAAAAAGCGATGCTTGCCGAGTTTCCTTTCGATGAAAAACATACACATCGAGTGGTATATCAATGACGCAGCCTGTACACATACTATACATATGTTTTATTTATATAACATACATATACACACACTAGCATTTCCAGCCGAGTTAATATTGACTACAATCGTGTGTTGACAGACTACAATCGTGTGTTGACAGAGTGAACGAATTCTTCCCATCTGTGCTAACTGTGTCGGTTTCAAAATATAGTGCTGTATATTTTGAGGCTGTTTCACCATCCTCTTCGCAAACTGATAAGTTGCTTCATTTCTTTTTTCGCATTTCTATTTCCGTTGATATTTTTATTGATATTGATAAAATAAATATAAAATACACTCATAACTTAAATTATGAAAGATGGTTTAAATGAAGAAAGTAGAGCAGTACAAACACAGTTTGAATAACTTACTGAGCACTGAACGCACAGCCATTTACTTACAGAATGGGATATTGAGACGAATGTGGAATATAACAAAATGAAATGACGTACTAACAAGCGGTATTTCAAACATTAAAATATATTTACAGTTGATCTAAGTCTGTATTGTTTAACTTAACATTGATAACAACCATAAGATTGGTTTTATCCCCATTTCTCTCTTTCCCCTTTCCGTTGGTCGGGTTGTCTGTACATTTTATCATCATTCATAGGTCCAGAGACGTCGTCGCATGACAACAGCAAAAATCCTCTACACTCGTTTTTCATGGATTTTAGTACTCTTTTGCTACTATGGTCCGGTTAGAGAGAGTGCCCATCTCTATGTTTATCTGCTGGTCGTTTCGTCAGCCTCCTGAACAACGGCGTGTGAAATAGAGGAGAGCGATCTTTGGAAACAGTAGATAAATCCCATGGAAAGTGTACACAAACCATTATGACGAACTTTCTTTTTGTGGCTGACATGGGGTAAGTTCAGTTTCGAAGACTTCGTCAAGCTCAAATTCTTTATGTCTTCCACTCCACAAATTTGCTCGTAGTTTGACATATACACATCAGAGAGAGAGAGAGAGAGAGAGAGAGAGAGAGAGAGAGAGAGAGAGAGAGAGAGAGAGAGAGAGAGAGGGGGGGTATTAAATAAAATTTAAATAGTGCTCAATTTTAATCCATGATTAAGGGTAAAAACCGAATTTATGTCATATTGTTTATGATCTTTAGTTAACTTTTGTTCAAGGCCGAACCTTGTTTATGAACTTAGAATGTTATGAAACCGAACGTCTTTACAATTTAATGGAATCTTCTATTAGCAATAATTCACATCTATGAAATTCCCCAAAATACAACTTGGGTCCCATGCCACCATGCCTTGTGATATATATATATATATATATATATATATATATATATATATATATATATATATATATATATATATATATATATATATATATATATATATATATATATATATAAAATAGTCATTCCAATCTCATATTAATCGCTGGGAATCTATGATATGAGTGTGGTTGTTTTAAAAAATAATATGAAAGTAAATAGCAATTAATATATTCATTGGAATTACAGTGTGCTCATAGACTTTTCGGATGACAATACTTCTTTGGAATTATTGAGAACCCCTTCGAAGACATATTGGATGATATTGTGGTACATCAAGACATTCAAGCCTCTTAGTCCATCATTGAATGCAAGATAATTGGTATATCAGAACATTCAAATTATTGAAATTTATTCGGATTTATGATGGGACATTTGGGATTATATTGGATTTAATTTGGAGTACAGAGCTGACAATAATAAATTGTTTTCTGATTTTATTAAACCTGTTGGCTTCGCTTCGTTACGTTACATAGCTTAAGAGGTAGGGTAGTGTAGTTCTTCCTCCAAAACCCATGGAAATACTAAAATACAAACAAATTAATTATGCAGCTTTTGATTAAAGATTCGTGATTGCAATTTAAGTTAATAAAAACATAAACGGACACAATTTATATTGAGACTAAACTGAGAAGTTTTTCGAGGTTTTATGGCAGGCTGGTTTGATCATTCTATGGATGCAAATTTCAAGTAGCTCAGAGTAATACAACAAAAAAATAAACATACCCCATCTTCTTTTACTTTTTTTCTTGTTTTCATTTTAAAATTGACCAATGTTGACTATTCTTGTTTCAAGGGTCCCAAATATTCCACATAACAAAGGAAGTACTTTCTTTGGAATTCATCACTTAAGTGCGAGCGTTTCCTTTCAGAATAATGTGATTCGAATCTTGATGTCGTCATCAATTTGAAAGCTTGCTTAAAACGATGCCGTGAATCAGATCTTGACGTCTTTATTTTCGGTGCACAACGTGAAAACAGCCACCAATTCCATTTCTAATTTTATATTTAGAACAGAATTATGGATATAGGCATAATCTTTTTTTGTGCATGTTAAAGTTGGCATCCGGAGTTTAATGCCATTTTTCAGCACATTATAGACTATGCATGACGGCCAGTTATCTGGCGGAGGAAGAACACGGGATCCACAGAGAAGTTACTTGCCAATTCTCTCACCACGTTAGTCCAACAGAGATTTGAACACACGTGGACGGGGATGAGATGTACGAGTAAAGGCAAGCACCTTAGATTACTCAAACTCAAGTATTCTTAAAGTTATCAAATCACTAAATGAAGGAGGCATATACATTATTAAATAATCTATGT